GTTTATTTAGAGTATCTACATAAACCCAAATGCTGTGGGGGCTACCATCCCCATAGTAAGGTGTGGCGGGGAAAAACGAACAGATATCAGAGTTGGACAGATGTGGCTTCAAATTCTGACACCACCAAGTTGCTTGAGCCTCTGTGTTATCTGTAAAACAGAGCTGGTTATCAGGAGTGCTGAATATGGACGCAGTAATGCCTCTCAGGATTGTATGAAAATTGGATAAATTAAAAAAAAAAACCTGGAGAAATCAGCACCTAGAAAATGCCTGGCACTCTGTCCAAACCCCATTGCCCATCTTCAGCTGCCACTTCATCACGTAATCCTGCAGCCTCCCATGAGCCTCACGCCCAGACTCAGCATCCCCAGTGCCCCTTGACTCCTGCCTTGAACCATCAGGGGTAGGTCTTTCCGGACTTCCATTGCCGGCACTTCATCCATCATCCCTGGGACAAATGTCTTTTGCCCTTACATCAAATTCTTTCTCAGGATTATAAGCCCCAGAGATAGACTTTCTCATTGTTGGCTCATGTCTCGAGGGCTGAGAGCGTGGGCTCTCTCCGCAGCGTTGACCCCTGTCCTCTACAGGGTCATCGCCTCCCAGGGCTAGAATGTACCAGGCCCCCATTCAGAGAGAAGGTTCAGCTGCCCCTCCCCCTCCGGTCCCGCTGCCCAGGCTGCACAAAAGTCCCTTAGGGGTCTCTCCACTGCTAGCCAGCTATAAGTGGTTATGAACTTTTATTTCCACCTCTAATTCACACACTTGGCAAAGTTTAGCAAAGACCACACAATACCTCATGACCCCACTGACTGATGGTCATGGCACCTACAGTGTTCTCTTGTCCACCAGATCCTGTCCACAGATATAAAGCCAAGGAGAATAATACTAGCTGAAGAAATCAGCCCTTGGGGCTCTACCCCCCCAAAAGCAGCAGAGAAGATGAACAGCTTAAAGATAAAGTTCAGAGAAGATGAACAGCTTACTGGGGTCACAGAGCTAGTGTGAAGTAAAGTCAGGGTGACCTTCGCCCCTCCACCCTACCTGCCTCCACAGGCAACCGACCTGTGGCCCCATTTTTGCCTCTTACTATCCCTTCTCTGGACCCTGAACATCAGAGAAGTCAACGACTCCTATACTATTTACCTTGAATCATATGTTCCACTTGACAAACATTAAGACCCTGGACAGCAGAAGAACCAAAGAAGCTTTTTTGAAAGGCGGTTGCCTTGGCCCCACCCCAGACCCACAGGCTAAGAATTTCCCAGGGGGCTTCCAAGCATGTCTCTTCCTGAGAAGGGTGGTTCCGATGTAGAGCCAGGGCTGGGAACCACCAAATCTAAAATTAATCATAGGAAATGAATAATGAGCACCTACTAGGTGCCAAGCCGTGTCACTGTGGCTAATTTTGCCACAACTCAGCAAAGTGGGCTTTCTCAACTCCACTTTCTGAAAGGAAGGGAAAGCTTCAAGAGGTCAAGGGGCTTCCCGAGACACCCAGTTGGTGCGAAGCAGAACCAGGGTTTGAATCCGGTCTTTCTGATCTCAAAGCCCACACTTGCCTGCACCCTTTATGTGCAGTCCTACTGTGTGAGAGCCCTGCGCTACCAGAGCCCAGGGAAAGAGGATGAGTCAGACCCGTGCCTGGTCTAGGAGCTCACACCTGAGTGGGGGTGGCTGATACATAAGCAGTTAACTTACCCACAAAGCTGCCTGAGAAGGATAAACAGAGGTTCCAAGGGCTATGAGAGCCCAGCGGTGTGTGATGAGGACACGGGGAGGGGGGGAAACCGAGGAAAGCTTCTCGGAAGAGGTGACGATTGAGCTAGGTTTTGAATGATACCATAGGTACTGGTATCTATCACACCATGTGCCAAGTTCTACATCTGATCCAGAAGAAAGAAAGATACATAGGACACGGTCCTTGCCCTCAGGATGCTGGGAGTCAGCACGCTGCCTTCTCTGAATCTCCCATTTTCTCTACCAGAAATCCCTCAGCTCCTCCTCCCTCTTCCCCAGTTCCCATCTCTCTGCTCCCTTTGGTGCCTCAGCATCCCCCTTGGCCCCGCACAGCGAGCCCGGCCTTCTTGGTTGTCCAGGAAATGGGGTGCTCCAGGCCCAGAACCAGGGAGGAGAGAGGCATGGGGGCCCCGCCCAGGCCGGGGGACAAGGAGGTGAGCTTCAGAGCCACAGAGTGAGTCACAGCACACAGACACCTAAGCGATGGGGATAATAAGACACACTTCCCTGGGAAGTTGGGGAGAGAGATGAGATAGGAAGAGAAAGTGCTTTGAGCCTCTCGGAAGAAAGAACCCATTAACAGATCCAGGGTATTATTACCACGGTCATTACCTGCCTCAATTAAAGGGGTACGCATCTAACTACATGAGGAATCATTAACTCGTTCTGCAACCCACACATGGTTATATTTTTTAATATAATTTCATTTTTATTATTAACAGATAAGACCGAGAAATATTCTGCGAGTCATTCTGACATGTGAATACTCCCCTTTGGCTTGGGTGGGGTGTCATCCCTCCCACAGGGCTAGGCAAGGGTCCAGCCCAGGGGAAAGAGGCCGAGCCTCCCTTCCCACTCCAGCTCCTCAGCCCCAGGTCCTCCTCAAAGAAGTTTGGAACCATCTCTCGGTCCCCGATCCTATCGCCCGAACTGCCCTTCCTCTCGGCCCTCCACACCTGTCTCTGCTTCCCACATCTACCCACACCTGCCCGACTGCTTAGTGGGCAAGGAGAATGAGTGAATCACTGGATGCCAGGCATTGGGGCGGCGGGGGGCGGGGAGCAACGATCAGTTAGACACAGTCCTGCTCGTGAAGTAGGTAAGTGCACTGGGCCCATTCATTCATTCACCCAGCTGGCTCTGAGCTTGGGCTCTGGGAAAGGCAGGTGAATGACACATGTCCCCACCCAAGGAAACCCACCTATGAGGGGAGACAGACCCTCCAAACAACCACAGAAATCCCTACCAATGTGTGCTGTAGTAAAGCAATGCCCCCAAGAGCTGGGGAGACTCAACAGAAGACTTCAATCTGCCTTAGAATAGGACTGGCAGGAGCATGCCCAGGAAGGTCCTTCTGAGGGAACAAGACAGGAGCTAGGCCTCAGGGTACTTAGAGAAGGAAGGACATTGCCGGCTGAGGGAACAGCATGAGCAAGAAAGAAATCAGTGTTCTGGAGGCAGGGTGGGGGGGGGGGGAGTCCACTGTGGCCGGGGAGGTGAGGCACTTGGGAGGAAGGGAGAGAAACGATGCTGACGTGGAGTGGGGATGATCCAGAAGGGCCTGGTCTACCATGATGATACCAACCGGCAGCATATCCAGAACCCTCCGTGAGCCAGGCCAGGGCAAGGCGCTTTCCCAGTGACAGCTTTGTAAACCCTCAGGGCCGCCCCACCTAGGAGGCCCTGTTACCACCCTCTCTCTACTGAAGACCCCTGGGGTCAGGGACACACAGGCTGCCCAGCAAGGAGGGAGAAAAGCAGACTCACAGGCACCCTAGGGTTTAATGCCATATAAGGACTTTTTTTGAGGCTAGAAGGGGAATTTAGTCAGAGGGGAGGAGGAGCCGCAGGCTCTTTGGGGTAAAGTGATGGGGTAACTGGGGGACCCGGGGTGAATGGGGCACATCGACCACTTGGAGAGGGCAATGGGGGAAAAGGCTGCAATAGGTGGGTGCCCCTCCCCACTGCGGGGAGCAGGCCACCCCCCAGGGAGAGCCAAAGCCCCCACAGGCAGCCCAGCCCAGCACAGAGTGCATTGCAAAGGGCCAAGCTGGGAACAACCTCACGGGAAATGGGAAATCTTCGGGTTCCCCTCCTGTATAATTTGCCAGGCTGCCACACCGTTAGGCTTCCAGCGCCCTCAAGCAAGTCAATACCATCCCTTGCTGAGATGGCATTAGATGAGGTCCAAAATGCCTCTCCTGGCTCAGAAGGTTCTGGGTCTGCTCCTCACCTCCCCAGCCCTGTCTCATTGACTCGTTCTGTGCTCTGCTCACCTCCGCACCCTGACTTCTTATACTCTGGCCACACAGGACTTGACTGAGTGTCTCACCAACGCCTGGCTCTCTTTTCTTGTGACCACCCCCTCCTTATCCTTTGGGTTCAGCCCTCGCTGACCCTCCTGCCGCCCCCCTGCCTGTCCCCCACTCCCATGACACTCTGGTCTTCCCTAGCCGATGCTTTTCTTGCTCCTAATATCTGGTCGTGATCTGGCTCCTCACAGCTGCCGAAGCCGGATTTGTTCCCCGCTCTGCTCCCCGAGGCTGAAACAGTGCCTGGCACGGAGTGGGGCTCATGAAGTCATTTTGGAGGTGAATGAGTGAGTAAACAAGAGAACGACTGAGCAAATGAAAGCGTGTGCAAACCCTGCATCGTACTTTAGCTTGTACGATTCCTCTTGCCTGGACCATCCCCTCCCTTCTTGCCCACAGCCCGCCTTGGCCCCACCAGCTTCGAGGTGTCCTTGGGATCTATAACACAAGGGAGGCTCCTCTTAAATGTCCACCGTAGGACACATTGTCTGAATATCCCGAGGCTGCAGAAAATCCTCGTGATCACGCTCTGCTCTGTGTAAACCTGCCCCCACCCCGATACAAGCCAGCTCACCAAGTCCCGACGCTGCTATACACAAAAATGGGCAGCAGAGAAGGGAGGTGAGGGGTGCACATGCCTGAAAGTGAGCTCAGCCACCAGAAGGGGATGACTCACTGTAAAGGGTTTTGAACATGACATCGCATCCTATAAATGTAGCCTCGCCTGCTTTCCTTTTCTGCACTGATCAAACACTCCCTACACAGGAAAGAAGCTGACGCTCCGATCCCGGGGTGCTAAGACCTTATGATCGCGTTGCAACATAAGACCTGATCACAAGCAATCACCATAGAAGACTATCAGCTAAGTGCCAAGAGAACCCCACCTCCGGAACTCCACGTCTTTATCAGGGAATAATCCCCAAATCTGGCCCCACGCCCATGAGCACCTGGGTGTTCGGTTCCCTTTCTCACTGAGCGGTGTTCACGTCCCTGCTGGATCTCCTATTTGCATTTTTCGTTTTTTATCTCCTCTGGTGGAGAGAGAGAGTTACAGTGAGCCTGCCCCAGACCAAGTGCATGTTGCCAAAACCAATCCTGGGCTGTCTGCAGAATTCGCTGCCTCCCGTGCCTTGGAATTATTTATGAGTGCTTGCACTCAACAGCTTGCCTCCAGCAAGTTCACCCAGTTGGGCAATGTGGCCAAACGGCCAATGGGGAGGGCTCACCCCTGGAGTCCAAAGGTTTCAATGAGTATTTGGAGTTTGTAAGCACACTTTCAAGATCCTTTAATGGTGAAGGCAAAGGTGCTTTAGGCATATATACGAAGAGAGATCCCTGAAACCGTAGGGCAATAGATGAGTCGGGTAAGGTGGCTCTTGGCACTCCTCAGGGACTGAGACACGAAAGTTGCCAAAGCTTCTCAGATCCTATCACCCCCACCTTGAGCTGCCTGGATGATGAAATACTCTGAAGAGTCTGAATTGCTTTTACTGGTGAGCTGAGCTAAACCCAGCACCCCAACCTACCTCACAGGTGATCACAAAGGATGATGGGTGGGACCCGTGGTGCCCCCACTGGCACTTTACAGACCAGAGCACAGCTCCCCTCCTCCAGGGCCACCAGCCAGCATGGGGGAGGAGGTCCTTCACTTATTTGTTAGCAAATGAAATGCCAGGTGGAAGCACAGTGTTGAAACAAAACTAGATGCATCCCCACCCCGAGGCGTGATGAAACACTTGGCACATGCCTGAGAGAGCAAGGGAGGTGGGTGCTGGGGCTGAGGACACCCTGGCTGCACTTGAACTTGAGCATACCGCGCCCAGTGGTGGAGAGGCAGAGGATGGGGTGGGAAGGGGACTTCGGGAGATTAGCGTAGCTGCCTGGGGGAAAGCCCAACCGAGACCAAATTTGGCCAATAGATTCAGCCTTTGGTGACATTAGAGAGTCTTTCCTTTCTAGTTGAGTATTCCAGCCTGAGCCTGGTAGTCCTAATAATTCCCTAAGACGTCACTGCCAGGAAAATCAGGAAGAGAGGTCTGCTCACAGAGCGGGGAGGGAGCAGAGGAAAACGGAGGTGAGGAGGGAGGCGGGAAGGGAGGGAAGCCAACAGAATGAAACCTTGGAGATGGTATCTGTAATGTTTCTGATCTGAAATATCCAGAGCTTCCAGCCGTTTGAAAAAATTTCCCCATTGAATAGATTGATGTGTGTGAAGCAAGCAGATACATACCCGGTGTGTGTGCTAGAATGGTGCGTGTGTGCGCACCTGTGGGTGTATTTGTGCATGTGTGTGTTTGTGGGTGTGCACAAGTGCGGATGTGATAATGTGTGCATTTGCATGGTATGTACGTTTGCGTGTGAGAGTGCATGCAAGTGTGCACATGTGTGCATATTTGTCTATCTGCTTGTGCAGCATCTCAGATTGAGAACAGCTCTGGAATAAAGCCTCAGTAAAGGAGGGATCTTGTCCTGATCCGCTGCTTACCAGCTGGATGACCTTGAGCAAGGTGCCTCATCACACTGGGCCTATTTTCTCACTTATTCTAACTCCCAAAGCCATGCCTGGTATGTAATAATCACTCGATAAGTATTGATTCAATGAGCAATTGTTATTTAAGGATAATGCTGCCCATTTCTTTGGGTTGAGGAAACAACAAAATGAGAAATCACATGCATAACTACCCTCATACTCTCGATGCTTGACACATAATAGAAGCCCAATAAGCGTTAGCCCTACACCTCCCCAAATTCCGTTTTTATACCCTTGAGTAGAAAGAGGTTGATGAAGGAAATGATGCATAAGATCACGTCTCCTACAGCTGCCATCCTTGGGCTGAATTCCACTGACCATATTCCCTTTTATTTTTAAATTTTAATTCCAGTACAGTTAACATACAGTGTTATACTAGTTTCAGGTGTACGATATAGTGATTCAGCAATACTGTACATGACCCAGTGCTCCTCATGGTAAGTGTACTCTTAACCCCCATCATCTATGCTCCCCATCCCCCCACGCACCTCCCTTCCAGTGACCATCTGCTTGCTCTCTATAGTTAAGAGTCTGTTTTTTGGTTTGTCTCTTTTTTTTCCCTCTCTTTGCTTTGTTTTCTTGAATTCCACGTGAGTGAAATGATATGGTATTGGTCTTTCTCTGACTTATTTTACTTAACATTATACTCTCTAGCTCCGTCCATGTTCTTGCAAATGGCAAGATTTCATACTTTTTATGGCTGTGTAATATTCCATTATATATGTATATATGGCGGCAACATTTTCCTTATCCTTTCATCTATTGATGGACACTTAGGCTGATTTCATAATTTGGCTACCGTAAATAATGCTGCTATAAACATAGGGGTGCATGTATCCCTTTGAACTAGTGTTTTTGTATTCTTTGGCTAAATATCCAGTAGTGCAATTGCTGGATTCTAGGGGAGTTCTGTTTTTAACTTTTTGAAAAACCTCTATACTGATTTCCAGAGTGGTTGCACCAGTTTGCATTCCCACCAACAGTGCAAGAGGGTTCTTTTTTCTCCACCTCCTGGCCAACACATGTTGTTTCTTGTGTTGTTGATTTTAGCCATTCTAACAGGTGTGAGGTGATACCTCATTGTAGTTTTGATTTGCATTTCCCTGTTGTTAAGTGATGATGGACATCTTTTCATGTGTCTGGTGGCCATGTGAATGTCTTCTTTGGAGAAATGTCTGTTCATGTCCTCTGCCCATTTTTAAATCAGATTATTTGTTTTTTGGGTGTTGAGTTGTGTAAATTCTTTATATATTTTGGATACTAACCCTTTATCAGATATGCCATTTGCAAATATCTCTCCCATTCTGCAGGTTGCCTCTTAGTTTTGTTGATTATTTTCTTCACCGTGCAAAAGCTTTTTATTTTGATGTCATCCCAATAGTTTGTTTTTGGTTTTGTTTCTCCTGCCTCAAGAGACCTATCTAGAAAAATATTGCCATGGCTGATGTCAGAGAAATTACTACCTGTGTTCTCTTCTAATTTTATGGTTTCAGACCACTGACCATATTCTTAAGCCAATTTCCAGAGGCTTCTGAGTTCCCATTATGTTATATATTAGCTAGGCCTCTTCTCCCTGATTTCAGTCAAAGATTGACAGCAATTCATTTGCAAGAATTAAATGCAAGACTGAATTTTAATGACTCAGAAATTCGTGGCCAACTTTGCTTTCAGTGACCTTTAAGGAAAGGAAGCCTAGGAAGTGACCTGGTACCTGACCTTCCATCTGGTGGTATACCTGTGGGTCACGATCTTGCAAAAAATAGGACTAATTATCCTCATCATGCACTTAAAGGGACAAAAGCTTGGAGAGGTCAAGTGACTGGCCCAAGGTCACCCTACTCACTCCAGAGTCCTAGATATTCAGAAGCATCTGGAAAGTAAAGTCTCTTCACTCAGGCAGGGAGAAATGAGGTGTCTTAAGTTCTGAACCCATAAACATCTCAAAATCTCTGACTAGTCAGCCCTGATTGAGTATTGGCAGATAGAGCCAGGGCCATGTGGCAATAAGAAAACTAGTCAGGTGGGACTGGAACAGTGCCTCTGAGGTATTTCACAAACACGGGGAACAAACACATTGGTGTCGCAATCCTGGCCACCCGGAGCTGCCGCGTTGGCTGTTTTCTGAGCATGGACTGTGGATAAGGAGTTTGAGGGCTGAGGGCGCTAGGACTCCTAGGTGGGTGGCCATCAGCCCTCAGGGGGCAGGTTTTCAGTCCTCAAGCCCCTTAGGGTTATAGCCAGATGGAACTACTCCTTCCAAAGTGCCAAGGGCTACTCCAGACCCGGGGCCTTCCACAGTCCAGAAGTAACCTGCATTTCCATCTTCTCCAACTACTCTCTTTGACAGACACCAACACCCAGACTTACTAGACTCTGACTGGATCCCAAACATATCTTTTTCTCCACCATTTCCATGCCCAGGAAACAGACTCTCTTCTGCCCTCAAAAGAACTATTCATCTCGCAATCCCAAAAACAAAAGTTAATTAAGACCAAATCTCTCTTAGCATTTCACAATGCCCTCTGGGATAATTAATATAACTGGTATGAACTGCTTCATAAAGTCAGAGCACAAATATGGTCACATTCCACTTATTTTTCCAATTAATCTCTTAAGCACACATCTACATTAAAAGCAGAAAGTCCAGCATCTTCCTCTGGAGGTTCCCCTCCCTTCCAACAAATTGTCCCAAAGCCCTGGGGACAGGCCAAGTAAAAACAAAAATGAGCCTCGCACATACCAGGCAGAGAGGAACTGGAGTCTGTTCGGTTTAGAACTGCCAAGGATTCTCTCTGCCACGAATTCCTGCTACCACACAGTGTCACTGTTGAAACTCATGCCTGCACAATTTCTTGGATCCATAGAACGGCGGAAACCAAGCCCCTGCCTGGCAGCCAGGGGCCCCGTGCAGAGCTCTGAAAGCATGACTCTTCTCATTCATTTTCTCATACTTCGTTATTTCCCAGGGCACAAGACCACAGCGGGAACCCACAAGTAGGACCGATTCTACTTTCCACCCCAGACAAATCCCTTTTCCCTGGCCTGTGAGCGCTGACAGGAAACACGCTTTTAAATATCCGGAGTGGGAAACACCTTTTCGTATCTTTCTCTGCAGAGCGTGAGGGCTACTTGCTCTGCACCTGCCCGTCTCTGGGAAGCTGGCTTTGGTTCCTTTCTTCTCCTGCCTGCACCCTGATGTGACTGGTAACCTTCTCATGAAAGTAGAGAACAAAAACCCCAGTTAAATCTCCAGCAGGGCACCTCCTATTAGCACACCTGTGACATGTGCAGTAAATCTCAGGGCATAGCCAGAGGATAGTAATTATGTTTGGGAAGGGCCTACTGTCTGCCAGGCACTTTGACACATATGATCCTGTTTAATCCCACGACACCGAGCAAAGCAGTGAGAGCAGCATTTTCCAGCAGAAGGAAACGAGGCAGAATGGTGAGGGGGCCCAAAGCTGGACAACTGTAGGGTGCTCGAGCATTCCCTCCTTGCCTGGGGAGCCTGCCGAGGATGACTATCGAGGAGGTCAAACGGAGA